TCTGTTCTATTTCAATCTTTTCATTCTATTCAATACAACTAGATTCTGTTCTATTTCAAACTTTTCATTCCATTCAATACAACTAGATTCTGTTCCATTTCAAACTTTTCATTCTATTCAATACAACTAGATTCTGTTCTATTTCAAACTTTTCATTCCATTCAATACAACTAGATTCTGTTCCATTTCAAACTTTTCATTCTATTCAATACAACTAGATTCTGTTTTATTTCAATCTTTTCATTCTATTCAATACAACTAGATTCTGTTCTATTTCAAACTTTTCATTCCATTCAATACAACTAGATTCTGTTCCATTTCAAACTTTTCATTCCATTCAATACAACTAGATTCTGTTCTATTTCAATCTAATCTTTTCATTCTATTCAATACAACTAGATTCTGTTCTATTTCAAACTTTTCATTCTATTCAATACAACTAGATTATGTTCTATTTCAATCTAATCTTTTCATTCTATTCAATACAACTAGATTCTGTTCTATTTCAAACTTTTCATTCTATTCAATATAACTAGATTCTGTTCTATTTCAAACTTTTCATTCTATTCAATATAACTAGATTCTGTTCTATTTCAATCTTTTCATTCTATTCAATATAACTAGATTCTGTTTTATTTCAAACTTTTCATTCCATTCAATACAACTAGATTTTGTTCCATTTCAAACTTTTCATTCTATTCAATACAACTAGATTCTGTTCTATTTCAATCTTTTCATTCTATTCAATATAACTAGATTCTGTTCTATTTCAAACTTTTCATTCTATTCAATACATCTAGATTCTGTTCTATTTCAATCTTTTCATTCTATTCAATATAACTAGATTCTGTTCTATTTCAATCTTTTCATTCTATTCAATATAACTAGATTCTGTTTTATTTCAAACTTTTCATTCTATTCAATATAACTAGATTCTGTTCTATTTCAAACTTTTCATTCCATTCAATACAACTAGATTTTGTTCCATTTCAAACTTTTCATTCTATTCAATACAACTAGATTCTGTTCTATTGCAAACTTTTCATTCTATTCAATACAACTAGATTCTGTTCTATTGCAAACTTTTCATTCTATTCAATACAACTAGATTCTGTTCTATTTCAAACTTTTCATTCCATTTAATACAACTGGATTCTGTTCTATTTCAATATTTTCATTCTATTCAATACATCTAGATTCTGTTCTATTTCAATCTTTTCATTCTATTCAATACAACTAGATTCTGTTCCATTTCAAACTATTCATTCTATTCAATACAACTAGATTCTGTTCTATTTCAAACTTTTCATTTCATTTAATACAACTGGATTCTGTTCTATTTCAATATTGTCATTCTATTCAATACATCTAGATTCTGTTCTATTTCAATCTTTTCATTCTATTCAATACAACTAGATTCTGTTCCATTTCAAACTATTCATTCTATTCAATACAACTAGTTTCTGTTCTATTTCAAACTTTTCATTTCATTTAATACAACTGGATTCTGTTCTATTTCAATATTGTCATTCTATTCAATACATCTAGATTCTGTTCTATTTCAAACTTTTCATTCCATTCAATACAACTAGATTCTGTTCCATTTCAAACTATTCATTCTATTCAATACAACTAGATTCTGTTCTATTTCAAACTTTTCATTCTATTCAATACAACTAGAATCTGTTCTATTTCAAACTTTTCATTCCCTTCAATACAACTAGATTCTGTTCCATTTCAAACTATTCATTCTATTCAATACAACTAGATTCTGTTCTATTTCAAACTTTTCATTCCATTTAATACAACTAGATTCTGTTCTATTTCAAACTTTTCATTCTATTCAATACATTTAGATTCTGTTCTATTTCAAACTTTTCATTCCATTCAATACAACTAGATTCTGTTCCATTTCAAACTTTTCAATCTATTCAATACAACTAGATTCTGTTCTATTTCAATCTTTTCAGTCTATTCAATACAACTAGATCATGTTCTATTTCAAACTTTTCATTCTATTCAATACAACTAGATTCTGTTCTATTTCAATCTAATCTTTTCATTCTATTCAATACAACTAGATTCTGTTCTATTTCAATCTAATCTTTCCATTCTATTCAATACAACTATATTCTGTTCTATTTCAAACTTTTCATTCCATTCAATACAACTAGATTCTGTTCTATTTCAATCTAATCTTTTCATTCTATTCAATACAACTAGATTCTGTTCTATTTCAAACTTTTCATTCTATTCAATACAACTGGATTCTGTTCTATTTCAAACTTTTCATTCCATTTAATACAACTAGATTCTGTTCTATTTCAAACTTTTCATTCTATTCAATACATTTAGATTCTGTTCTATTTCAAACTTTTCATTCCATTCAATACAACTAGATTCTGTTCCATTTCAAACTTTTCAATCTATTCAATACAACTAGATTCTGTTCTATTTCAATCTTTTCAGTCTATTCAATACAACTAGATCATGTTCTATTTCAAACTTTTCATTCTATTCAATACAACTAGAATCTGTTCTATTTCAATCTTTTCATTCTATTCAATACAACTAGATTCTGTTCTATTTCAAACTTTTCATTCTATTCAATACAACTAGAATCTGTTCTATTTCAAACTTTTCATTCCATTTCATACAACTAGGTTATGTTCTATTTCAAACTTTTCATTCTATTCAATACAACTAGATTCTTTTGTCAATATTTCAAAGAGAAGATGTAATGTAGTGTAAATTATGCCGAAATACAAAACGAGTTTAATTAACTATTATCGCGAAAATATAGCTAATTCTTTATATTACCGAAAATTTTCACTCAAGTGAAGTAGGCCTACAGTCTTTTCGGAATCTGGTTGGCTTGAAGTTCTGATTTGCCTATAGAAGTTATAGTGACAATTTCTCGTCTTACAATTAATACCAAAAGGGTAACAAGTGACCATCCAGTTGACTATTTTTATAGTTCAGGGGAGGTAAATCTGTAATGTAATATCAAGACAACAACTAACTTAGTTAGCAATGAGCCAGAGACGAAAATAAACGTTTTTTATTTTGCCTGGGATAGGTTTTTCGCAATATTTACATTTGACAAAAGTTTCATTGATTAGATTATCTAAAATATTTCATTGGTTTAAACTTAGAGTGCCAAATAAAAACGGCGTCAAATTAAAGGGACAGATGAGCCAATTTTTGATCAATTATATCTTAGTCTCAGAAACGGGATTTTTTTTATTTAGTTTTTTAGCTAAGCCTATCTGTAACAGTGTTCACAGCTCACTGTCGGCTTTTGAGCCAACAAATCCATTAGTGCCCAGAATAACCCACGTTTGAAAGTTAAAAAAAACGAGTCCTCCTTTTTTTAGATACTGCCATGTACAGCCTAGTAAAGCCGTCTATAGAAATAGGAAAAGAAATTCTTAGTTTGAGATATTTCGAAAGAATAATGCGATTTTCGTACATTTCTAGTAGGCTATTTATGAAGACTTTTTACATAATATTCAAGACTCAAATTAACCCCCCAAAAAGGCGCTTAAGCGAAATCGCTAAGAAGTTATTAATGGGTTACATATAGAACTGTGAGAGTAGCCTACTTATAGTTACTTATGTCCCTAAAACCTGCTTAAAGGGACAGGTGGGCCATTTTGGGGAGTTGATTTTAGTCTTGAATATACGTAAATAGTCTTCAGAAGTACTAGAAATGTGCAAAAATCACATAATTCCTATAAAAATACTTCAAACTAGGAATTTTACTCACTTTTTCTACATATATTACAGAGTATTTTAGATTGACGAGTCGTCATTTTAACATTCAAACGCAGATAATTCTGGACACACATGGATTTGAAGGATCAAATTTCGAAGGTGAGCTGTGAACACTATTACTCAGCTAAAAAATTCCAGTTTCTGAGACTTAAGTATGATTGGTCAAAAAAAATGGCTTACCAGTTCCTATAAAGCGTAGCCTACACAAAAATATCACCAATCAACAAGAAATACCATGATCAGAACGAGTTTGGAAGAATGAAGGAGACCGAGTAACTCACGCCACACCATCCAGGGCCGAGTTTCACCGCCATGTCATTCGACCCGACCAGATCTAACGAAGAATCAACAACCAAACCAACAACACCGAATCATCCAATTTGATCCAATCCAACTACCAACTACTACGACTACCAACAACTACCTAGTTTGCGATATCAGCATCCGCTGGAAGCGAACGTTAACTTGTCATCTACCTACCTACCTACCAAAATATCAGTTGGGGACCTAGGGCTGATTGGGGAGGATAGGTCGAACCAAAGTTAGCTCTTATATAAAAATGTAAAATGTTACATAAAGATGTTTATGTGATACGCCAACTAATAAATATTTCATCCATCGTCTCATATTTTATGGGTTTAATAGTTGGATATTTTCCCAACCTCCTACCCATACTTTGATGACGCGTTTGCCTTGGGGCACAGATTTCTATTTTACGACTGGATGAACAAGACTAAAGCTGGAGAGACTTGATAAACAAGGCATAACAAATATGGCGTCAAGTTGAGAAGAGTTGTGTGTGAAATCGGTAAACTAATTTAAGAAATTGGACTTAAAAGTAAGTTTTGCGCATATTTTCTTATATTTGAAGAAAATTCAAAACTCGTAGATTTGATTTATCAAAAAATAAATCGTTTTCGACGCCAAAATCTTTTCGAATTACTAAAATGATTCATAAGAATGTGCAACCAAAATCTTATCCAACTGGTTTAACTCGTTTCATGTGAAGAAAGAGGAACATAACATAAATTTTGATGAACGAAAAAATAAACCAGGTCATGTATGTTGTTTATTTTATACGTGATTTTTCTTTTGTTTCAGATTTTGGAAAGTAATCTATTAGAAATTTCACATCCATCATATTTTTTTTTGGAGAAAAATATTTGGTGTTTGACCTACATTTCTGCAGTTAACATAGTGTAGATTTTATCACAACAAAAAAAATGGCTTCTTGTTTGCTTATTACTGCAATTATCTGTGTACTTTTGACTACCGTTGCTACTATTGTTGCATTCGCTACTCCCAATTGGATTGGTTTTCGAGGAATAAATGACCAGAACTTATGTGAATGTGGCACAGGGAATAATTGCGACTGTGGATTATGGCTATTTTGTACAGGTGGAATAACTTCGACTGGAAGTTTAGATAACTGCAAATGGTTCTTTTCAGAAGATTTCAGAATTGAGAGAAATATGCCAGGTTAGTACTGTGTAGGGATTATAGTAAAATTACTGATATCGGTACCAATCTATAACCTTTTCTTGAATGATATAAGACTACCGTACTAATGAAACCTGAAATCCAATCAACCTACCGGTAAAACATTGGTTTTAAGTTATTTTTTGTTAAAGTTGTCCAATGAAATCAATTTTATTTTGGAACCATTTGGACTTTTTCAAAGGCCTGTTTGGACCTTTTCCAGTCAGGAGCCAATTTGGATTGGTGCCAAGTTGACTATAACCCCATGACCGTGTATTCTCGAAACGATCTTAGCCCTAGGATGTCCTAGAATCAATGTTAGAATATAAGGACCTAGAACATCCTTGCGCTAAGATTGTTTCGAGAATATGTGTCCAGGTTTACCCTACCTATCCAACCCTATTTTCAGATCCAGGAATGCCAACTGAGCTTCAAAATAAAGGAACCACAGAAGTCTATAAAGACCATCATCATGTCAATAAACAGGCCATTTTTGTCTTTTCAAATAGTTTCAAATAGACTATCTTATAGACAAACGAATAAAAGCTTTTATGAGGCAAATCTTATCTTCAATGAAAAATTGTAGAGGGGTTTGTCTGAATACCTGTTGGCTTCTACATCAAGTTCTGATTTCACATTTTTTTTATCAAAGCAGTAAAACTGACATAAATTGGTGGTTTTAAGAATTGTTTTAACACTGGTACAAGAAAGCTCCATTACAACTTAAAAACTATTTAAAAGGTCATAGACCTAACCTTTTAAAGAAAAGCTATTAACTGGAGATTTCAGTAACATGATATTGTTGATTAATTTACTGTCTTTATATTTTATTACTGTCAATAAGACTTCAACATCAAAACATTCTATAATAATCTTTGACTCTCCGATTAAATTCTGTCAAGAATGTCTATGCATGATTAGTGTTGGGTATCGTCAATCATGCCACAATATGATATATATCACGATGCAATGGCCACTTATGAACCTTACACTGTCTTTGGGTTGAAAGTGAAAAAAAATATGATTTGTATACAGTTGGATTGAGATTTGAAGGCATCTCTTTTTTATAGGACTGGGGCTTATTTCAAAACCTAAATTACAAAACCAAAGAATGAAAGTTACACATTCTATGCCAATTCAAATTCAAAATGAATACAACTTATCTTGTACAACTGTACATAGTAATATTATTTATCTATATTGTAGATTGGTTTAAAGCTGTACAAGGATTATTTTCGTGTGCTATAGCTACAAGTTTATTAGCTCTATTGATAGGATTATTTTCACTATGTTGTTACTGTAAAACATGTAATCCACATCAAGCTGCTGGTGCCTTCATCAATCTTACCTGTAAGTATTCTTAAATCTTTATTGTTGTAGGTGAAGGGTGTGGAGTTGGGTATTGATTACCAAATTGAGATTAATAATCGAAATAATTCAATTGAGAAACTCTCTGTAAATACTTAAATTATAAGTAAGCGAAAATTCTTAGTTTCATGGGTAATTTTTTTGTCATAGAAGGATATTCTTGTTTTGAGGGGTTATTATAGATTATTGTGCTGAAGGGAACCTATGTGGAAGAGAATACTACTACTGTTAACGGGTACAGTGGAGAAAATGTAACTTTGACTTATAATCGATAATCAAAGTTATAAATTCATAGGGACGATAATCGATTATTGCGATCATTTTACCCAGTCCTAGAAGCGGGATCTCAAAAGCACTAGCTGTGGCATCTTTTTTTCTAGACTTGAAGGGGATTCAAACCAACAGAATCCTATCAGACAAGATTCAAAATTAGACACCAACTGAGCTATTCGTCTTCAATGTGTTAGTTAGATTTCAATGTATACACTTTTTGTTTCAATGGCATAGAATGACTTTGTTTTTCTATCACTACATCTTGAATCATCTTCATTAGCCCACATGATTCAGAATAGTAGGATGTAAAACTACATGATTTCATTTAAAGATGGGTGTTTAAGAGGTGTTCTAATGACTTGGAAAAATATCAGTTTTTCTCACATGTCCATAATTAATTCATAATTAACTAAATTAGAAGAGAATTACCAGCAGAATTCCAATGAGAGCCTGTTCAAGAAAGGTCAAAAAGTCTTTTGTTTGTTTATCCAGACTGTACATACATAGACATTTATGATTGGTTAAAACTCTAATTATATGCAATAAGAACATAATGATATGATTAAGAATACATGATAATTCATTAGAAACACCAATTAATCAAATAGTTTGCTTAATTTGACACTAAAAAATAAGGAAACCATCTTTAAACTTGGATAGCATTTTCTCTGAGAAAGGACAGAAAACTTCAAACTGTGTTACGAAAAACTAAACGTATTAATATTCCAATGGTTTTGAATTAAAATTCAAAAATTAAATATGAGAAATAAAGAAACAAAATGATCTTCTTTAAACAATGTGTGGGTTTGTAGCACATTAGTGTGAGTATTTAAACATAAAAAGTAAATAGTTTAGGCTCAAAATGACCGGAGTGTGGCGAGTTCAAATACGTGGTTAACATGATGACATTATTGGCATGTTAAGGGATTAGAATTTATTTGGTGTGGAAGGCCGTGGAGGATGGGCAAATATTTTCAAATTCTGATACAAAATATAGGTTAGTTTTGACCTACGCAATAAAAAAAAAGAACAATTTGAAGCAAAGTGTTTAACTTGCTTGCATTGACTTTGAATGTTTGTATGCAGAGAAATTTTGAGGTTAGTTTTGATCCACACAAAAAAAAAATTGACAACAATGTTTTCAAGAAAGATAATCAAGTGGGTAGTTCGATTGGTGAGTTAACTAGAAGCCATAAAACAAGTTGAAACAGAAACTCAAAACACGTTCTTGTGTGCCGTAGAAATAGAAAGCGCAGACAAGATTTAAAATGGCACTGAAGGAATTGGATTGGATCCTGTTCAGAACTGTCCAATCAAGCGCCACCATAGGTCCATATTTGCAAAATTTTGAGATGTGAGCACTATTTCTGATTAGCTTAGCTAACAAATTCCTGTTTCTGAGACTAAGGTATGATTGGTCGAAGTGATTGTTAAATCTATCTCTGTAATAGATATTAAAATAAAGTACCATACAATACTCAAAACTAGTATAAAAAGACTATTTAAATACTAATTTCACCGAATGACACTGTAACCACTCATTATACAGTATTTGTAAGTGAATAAACATCCACACAATGCTCTTGAATAATTAGGTCTATTGTACAAACAGTCTCAGTACAAACTTACAACTATTTTTATTGTTACCAAACTAGGTGTGTTTTATGTGTCATGTTTTATGGTTTGCCAAAAAAAATTTAAACCTTTAACCCTTATGAGTTCAGTGATTATTTTCTGGCCTATTTTCAGAGCTTTTCTTCTACAGAGAAGGTTTCTTAACTTTTTTGTCATAATTTCAGAGCCTGAAAATTAAATAATAGTAACATCTTCTCAATTTCAAGCTATTACAAACTTCATCTTATACCTTGACCGCAAAAGCCACTATTCTTGTATCACAGAATGCAGCAATTTGATTGGTTTGTACACCAGCAAATACAGCCAATCATAGAACGCAAACAAAAAGACTGTGTTATGGCTTATCGTTTAGTCTTTTTGTCGAGGGCTCTGAATGCGTTTATTTACCAGCGTATAATCCAATCAAATCACAGCATTTACAAACTTAAGTGATACAAGAAAGGTTGCTATTGCAATCAAGGTATTAGACACAGTTTGTAATAATAGCTTGAGTTAATGAAGATGACCTAATGAATGTCAACACTTTTTCATTCCAATGATATGTAATTGATAAACTGAAACAAGCCAATTTGTTTAAAAAAAAAAATTATTTTTAGAGATTTGTACCCTATGAATTTATGTTATGTCCCTGCTGATCAAAGAAACTGCCAGATAATTAAGATTTATTCAGACATGAATGGCATATATAACCAAATTTACAACCCTGATTTCTGAAATGTAATTAAACTATCTAATGGCCAGGTATTGGACTATAAATCTGTTCAAGCTTTTACTTACATAAAATGTCTATTAAAATTCTTGGCCTTAGGCGACAGTATACAGAATAGGATAATAAAAAAAAAAATGGTCAAATTAAATTATGTATTATGAGACTTGATATAAGGTTGTTGTCCAAATTTGGGCAACTGGCCAAACCACGTCTTGGCAGGAAAACAACTTCCAAATTTTTCCGGCCTCACAGATTCAGTAAGCTTGTCAAAATATTAAGCACATTGTCTAAGATTTTGTGATAGTTTTCCAAAATAATATCTTAAAAGGTGTCATAAAGCACATACTCACTGATAAATAACCTGGATTGAGTTCTATCAGTAATAAAATTAATAAGTAGAACATGTACTGTATTTATTGTTAAAATTGTTAATAAGATATTTATATTGCTCTACTATTGATATATTGAGCACTATTTTAAAAGTTAATAATTCATGGTGAAAATGGTTAATCATTTCTATACAAGATAATTTGTTAATCATTTCTATACAAAATAATTATTCATCATTTCTATACAAAAAAATTGCTAATCATTTCTATACAAGATAATTTGTTAATCATTTCTATACAAGATGATTGTTAATCATTTCTATACAAGATGATTGTTAATCATTTCTATACAAGATGATTGTTAATAATTTCTATACAAGATGATTGTTAATAATTTCTATACAAGATGATTGTTAATCATTTCTATACAAGATAATTTGTTAATCATTTCTATACAAGATGATTGTTAATCATTTCTATACAAGATGATTGTTAATAATTTCTATACAAGATGATTGTTAATAATTTCTATATAAAATAAGTGTTGATAGTTTAAAATAATATTTGTATATCTATATAATAAGGATGAACAATGATTGAGGAAGTAAGTAATGTATGTTAAGTGTTTAAGTTCTCCCAAATAACAAAATTACTCATATATAATACTAGAATTCAAATTTAACAGAAAAGTGTCAACAATTAGGAGGTATCCTAGACATGCCTTTATTTATTTTGTAACTTCAAGGGACATTCTCCTTTTTTTTGAAGGTTGAAATTTTCTTTTGCTCAAATTTGTGAAAACTATGCACCAAAATCTAGAGAGATTTGCCCTTTAACGTATCTGAAAGTTTTAACTAAATGAATCCAGTCGTTCAGTTTTTAAATGCCAACAATATTTAAAAAAGTTCGTTATGCTTTACTCAAATCCGCACAGTAATTTTCTAAACTCTGGAAGATTTTAGAAAACTAGTGTATGGATTTGAGTAAAATGAACACCTTATTGTAGAGAAATATGTCTCCTACGTATCAAAAAATGTTTCAACTAATAATATTGAGGCATTATGAAGCAAAACATCAAAACTAGGTCAAACTGCTTAATTAACAATTAATACTCTCCGTTTTTAATTAACCCTTTTAAAACAAATTTAGTTTGATCAAGAAGATATATAGATCATACTTCAGAAATATTTTCAGGTATAATTTTTTTTATAAAGAAAACTTTTTACCAAAAGGCAGAATACCCCTTTAATCAAAATATACCATAATCTCTTTTGATGCATTATATTATGAATTCATATGAGTAATGAAGGCAGAGAGATATTTGCTCTAGAATGTGACTAGATTTGTATTATTTATTTTAATATGAATTTAACACATCAATATAAATATTACAAAAAAACTGTATTGTGTAGGTCTACATGTATTTGACATTTATTCAATATGTGTATTTCTTTCTAACAAGATATTGCAGCTGATGTCAAGAGAGTTTTTTCCCATGGATCTAATTTAGAGGTTAACTTACCTTTGTGTGTTTATAGGGACTCCCGAAGCTTCTATTTGCATCATTCTGATTTCATGCCAACACCTGTGGTTCCTGTAATTCAAGATAACTTCAGATTACGACATTATTTTTGCTAAAACCATGTGGTTTGAATGATGCCATCCTCTCGGAACTGAGGGTACAAATGTAGAAGCCCCTTCCATAGTGGGATTTAGAAAAATATCTGAAATTGATTTGGGGTATGCGACACATACTTTTGAGGGCAAATGCAGATATTTCTTGGCTTGTATCAATAATTCTTTGAGAAATGAGGAAGTTGGTTATCTCATATCATTTGTAATCTTAAATTCTAAAAATAAATGTAGTAGAGTGATACCAGTCAGACTTGTCATAATATCGGACTCTTCAATGTTAGAAAACAACTAAGTGGGCTAGACTTTGTAGTCTGATTCCTTAGTTAGCTATTTCTTAACTTTAGTCATGGTGTGCTGGCCTGATTCTTGAAGACCAGGATAGTTGTTGACTTCATCTCTTCTTCATGTAGGTCAGTGGGGTGGGGAGGGGGGGAGTTAGTAAAAAAAATTAACATAA